AAGACTGCAGTCCTTGACCTTCTGCAGCAAGCGCTTCAGGTCCTCCTCAGTTTCAGCAAGCAGGGTTGTGTCATCTGCATAACGCAGGTTGTTTATGATTCTTCCACCAATCCTGATGCCACATTCCTCCTTGTACAGCCCAGCGTCTTGGATCTGTTCTGCATACAGATTGAAAAGGTATGGAGACAAAATACATCCCTGATGGACCCCTTCCTTGATTTTTGAACCTCCAGTGTCTCCCTGCTCTGTTCTGGCGACTGTCTCTTGGTCCAAGTATAGGTTTAGCATTAACACAATCAAATGTTCTGGGATTCCCATTCTTCTCAGAGTCAGCCACAGCTTGTTGTGATCCACACAGTCAAAAGCCTTTGCATAGTCAATGAAGCACAGATAGACATTCTTCTGGTATTTTCTGATTTCTGCCAAGATCCATCTAACATTAGCTGTAATATCTCTAGTACCATGACGTCTTCTAAATCCAGCCTGCACATACCTATGTTTATTTTGGCTTTGTTCGCAATAGCAAAGAATTGGAAACAACTCAAGTGCCCATCAACAAACAAATGGATAGAGAAGCTGTGATATATTCACACAATGGAATACTATGCTGCATTGAAAAACAAGGAGCTCGTGAAATATTTCACAAGATGGGTGACCCTGGAGGACATTATGCTGAGTGAGATATCTCAGTCACAAAAAGACAAATACAGCACAATGCCACTGTTATAAAAGAGGACTGACACAGGGGTTGAGAGGAGAATGAGAAAGATGGGATAAATAATGTATACTGCATTGAAACAGATGAGGGAGAGAACTGTTTAAAAGGGATATATGATTAGATATTATTGTCATGACAGAGTCCAGAATGAAGGTAGCATAGTAGAGTGGACTTGGGGGAAGGGATTGAATAACAATGAAAATTTTTTTTCTTTTACTTTTCAAAAACAAAAGCGAACTGGGGGAGAGGGGTGGACAGGGAGAAAAATGCAATAATGTAATAATGAATGAATGGAAATCTAAAGTCTATGTAAACTTTCATTAAAATAAACTAAAAAATAAAAAAATAAGTGGCTGGCCAATCCTGCTTAATCTGGGAGATTAATCCCATCTTAATCTGGGAGCTCTTCTGAAACCTGCCCACCATGGATGACCCCTCTGGCATTTGACACACAGGTGGCACAGCTTTCATCATCACAGTACTCACAAGTTACCTTAGTACAGCAAACTGACAGATAAGTGCTGTACTATTTAGAACAGTGATAAGCGAGCAAGAATATAGATACCTGAGCTATAAAGTCGTGGTAAGGAATTGTACTATTAACCCAAAGGCACATGATTCAAATCTGCCAGCTGCTCCAAAAGGAAGGAGATAGGCAATCTCTTTTTGTGTGATTTACTGCATATGAAAACCCACTGGAGGGTCAGCTATGTGTCAGTCCTGACTTGATGGTACACCACCACCACCACTACCACAATGTGCACACACAGGACTGATAAGCAGACAAACTAGGATTTTGAAGATGTAATTGAGGTGTAAGAAGTCCCTAAGTGATGGTGCAAATTGTTAAGCACTTGTTTACTAATTTAAAGTTTGGTGATTCAAACTTACCCACAGGTGCCTCAGGGGTAAAAAATGCTTAATGATAACATTATTCACAATATCAAGAATATGGTAACTGGCTAAATGTCTATCAAGAAACTGATGGACTGAGAAATTGTGGTACATTCACACAATGGAATATTTTGCAGCACTCAGGAGCTGGGACCTCTCCAGAGTGCTGAAGAATAACAGTGTCAGTTTAGAGACTAAGGTGTGCCTGATCCAGGCCATGATATTCTCAATTGCTTGCTGTTCCTCTTAGAACTGAACTATGACTAAAGATGACAGAAGAAGAATTGATGCCTTCAGTTGTGGTGGTGGGGAAGAGTACTGAACATCTCATGGACTTCCAACAGGTCTGTCTTGGAGAGAGTGAAACCAAGTTGCTCCTAGGAGGAAGGATTCTGAAACTCCATCTCACATACTTTGTACTTGTTATCAGGAGGGGCCAGTCCTTGGAGAAGGACATCATGGTTGGAAGGGTAGAGAGAGGGTCAGCAGAGGAGAGGAAGATCCTGGATGAGATGGATTGATGCAGTGACAGTGACAATGAGGTCAGATGTGTCAGAGATGATGAGGTTGGCTCAGAGCAGGGCAGGGCTCAGAGCTGTTGTTCATAGAGTTACTATGAGCTGTAGTCGATTCAATGGTACAAAACAACACCACCATCAATAGCAATTTATTTGTATCCACAATCAATTCCCCCAGTAACCAAGGTTATGAAATCACAAAGTGTTGTATTAGAGAAACCTACAATAAGAACCCTTTCAAAGTGATGTGAGTTTAAAATGGCTAAGGTGCACCTGACTCAAGCCATTGCTTCCTACATATAGAAAAGCTGGACAATGACTAAGGATGACTGAAGAATTGATGCCTTTGCATTGGGATGTTGGTGAAGAATATCCATGGACTGCCACAATATCAAGCCAATATCTTGGATGAGGTACAGCAAAGGTGTTCCTTAAAGAAATGGAGAGTGAAACTTTACCCAACATACTTTGAGCATGCTCTCAGGAAGAGTCTTGGAAAAGGCATTATGCTGGCAAAAGTGGAAAGTCAGACAAAGAGTTCGATCCCTAGTGAGATGATTGACAGAGACTGCAGCAGCATGCCCGAGAATGGCAGATGAGCGTGAGGACATTATAAGATAGAAGACAGGGTAAAGTTTATATCCATTTCTCATTGGATTATTATTTTGTTGTTGTTGTTGTGTGATGTCGAGTAAGAATGGACCCACAACTGACCCTCGAGTGGGTTTTTAGAGGCAGTTAACCTCAATGAAGGAGATTTCCCATTTTCCATGCAGCAGCTGGTTGATTTGAAACACATGCCTTTGGATTGGCAGCACAACTCCTTACCGCTAAGCCACCAGAGCTTTTAACACAGTTACTATTAGTTGTAGTCACCTTGAAGTCACCTGATGACAAGGCATTACAGCTTTC